AATCCCACATTAAAACCTAACTATTTGATAGCACCAAGGGTCACCTCAACTTCTCCCTTGACTGTGTCTGACCATCACTATAAAATGTTCTGAGATATTATCCTACATGAAGGGTACTACGTAAACACAAGTTGTTGTTGGTTTAAGGGAAGCTTGGACAATGAATACTCACCAGAAACGGATCTTAGTGGTGAAAGTGCAGTGTAATAAACTAGACCAGTGTTTCTTTTTAACTCCTGCCAATTTTCTTCAAGCAACAGGGAAATGAGGAATTCTCTAAATAAGCTCTATTTTAGTAGTTTGATGGATCTGCCGAGATTTGTGTCAAAATGCCAGAAATGTACTTTAAGATGACCAAACTAGGGCAATAGAGTAGATATTTGCAAAAAAAACGACTGGTTGTTGGGCGTCTGCAGTCAACGAAGTTTGTTGTGTCGCAATTTTAAACTGGCCGTTATTGACATGGTTGGAGCTCAACTGAAATTTGGCAGCTCAGCATCAGTGGATGTTGACATTGATGCAATCGCAATATCATTTAAAAGTTTTGTGTGACATCCGGTGTATGTGTGTGTGTCGAGCCCGTGCGTGTGGCATGCACGCAACGAGGGGTGTGCGCGTGCGTGGCGGGGGGCGTGTGTGTGCGTGCTTGGGTGGGTGCGTGGGGGGGGCTATGCGTGGGGGTGTGAGCGTACGGCGGGGGTGGGTGCACGCGCGGTGGGAGTTTGCGTGCGTGGGGGGGCTATGCGTGTGGTGGGGGGGGTGAGTGCGTGGCAGAGGGGGGTGCGTGGGGGGGGCTGTGCATGCGGTGGGGGGGTGTACGTGTGGCAGGAAGGGCGTGCGTGCGCGGCGAGGTGTCCTGGTTGGGTAAAATTGGGTGGAAAAATATACCTCCAGTGTGGTGCCGCTTTTGGAATGTGTAGGGCCGCAACTGGCAGAAGGAAGCTTGTGGTTCAGTTGTCCATAGCTGCCTGGAACGTGCATATAAGAATCTACATAACTGGAAAAGACAAATTACATTTTCGTTGCTCGATCCTATTTTCTGAATACAGTTATCATTTGTTTCTGTCTTCTGTTTCTCTTTCTCTCCCCCCACCCCCCGGGATTATAATTGACCCTTGTAACTGCTGGAAGAAATCTACCTGCGGATTCTAATGAGTAATTTGCAGATTTCAGGAAGCTTAATGTATCTCTCCTTGTAAAGAGACTGATTACCATCCCAACATTATGATGGTGTAACTGCAATTATGTCTGTAAACTTCCGTTAATTCAGCTGATAAGTGTAAGGGTTGTTGTTGAGCTTGTTGCATACATCTGTGGGTCTGAAATACCAAGGATGTCACAATGTTATGATGAGCTGAACTAATCTATTGCAAACTTTAGGAGTAAAATTGATAAAATCTCATTATTCAGCAAATGTGTTTTATGTGTATGATTCGCTGTGTTAAATAACCAGTTTTATGTTTTTATTCAGAGAAAAATCCTTGTCCCAATTCTCTTGCTTCTTTCCTCATGGCACCAACTTTTGCTGGGGTTTTCTAAGGTTCCTGGTGGCTGTCTGAACATCAGTACCTTGCCCAAGTATCTGTGTATTGTGTGGGCGAGAGGGTCTGTATAAGCAAGACTGGGTTGAATTTGTCGACAGCAACAATTTACATTTATATAGCAGCTTTCTCGGCAGACATCTCAATGAGCTTCACGGAATCAATTCAAATTTTCAAGCCTGAGGTGGATACATTTTTGTAAGGTAAAGGTATCAAGCGATATGGAATAAAATGGGTATTTGGAGTTGAGGTAGAGATCAGCCATGATGGCAGAACAGGTTTGAGGGTTGAATGGCCTACTTCTGTTCCTATGTTCAAACAGCTGACTGGGCACTCGAGCTGGGATGGAGTAGCTGAGTATTGGGTTGTTGGGCTGGGGAGGGGGGTGAATATGACCGAAAGTGAGGTTAAAAAGATAGTTCTGTAGGTGAACTTTAGAAGTGGGCAAGTTGGAGGGACTCTAGAGTTATAGAGTGGAGGCAGAATGCTGAAAGCTTGCGCACCAACACATAGGTGGATCAGGCGGAGGACATGAAGCCGGCAGAGGGAGTGACTGATCACGCTAGATCTGTACTTGCCTGATCTCTGGACTTGGGCAGTTTGCTTTGGCACTCGTTGGTTCAGGATTATGAGCAAGAACTGTAGCAAATTTTATTTTTCCTTTCCTAGCCTGAAGTGCTGAGGCCAATTGTGCTGAGATTTAAGTAGCACAGAGTGGGATTGAACCTGGCATCTTCCAGGTTTGCGTGGCCTAGAGAGTAGGTTTAAAATCTGAGCATTGGGTTGGTTATCCACAATTTGCTCTTATTTTGCAATGTAGCGTATTGGTTAGAGCATTCGCCTTGCAAGCGAGAGGATCCGGGTTTGATTCCCGGGCGGGTCAAAATGTTAGTAAGTCTCCTCACTCCACATGCCTCTGTTTACCGAGCAGTAAGTAAGAACCCAGTTGGCGGATCACTTTTCCAGGGTAATAATACTGTTTAAAAAAAAACTAAACAAATAATAATAATTTGGTTACTTAATCCACGACTGCTTGTGGGACACTGCTGTGCGCAATTTACTGCCACCTTTCGCCCACAACATATACAGTCAATTCACCTTACAGTATATTCTGCGAAGCACTTTGAGGTGTCTTGAATACGTGATAAGGTGCTATATCAAATGCAAGGATTATTATTATTGCTTTGCAAGCAGCTATGTGAGCAGTAAATCATAGTTGTGGCAGCAGAGATTGGGTGTATATTATATACATATATTTGAAGAGATTATTACCCCTGGAAAAGCAATGTACCGATCGACGAACAACTGGGTTCCTACTTACTGCTAAATAAACAGAGGCATGTGGAGTAAGGAAACTTGTCTACCGTTTTCCACTGCCCTGGAATCGAAGCTTCAGGACTTCACATATCCAAGCCTGCCGAAGGTCTTAGTATCTCTCCATTTTTCATGACTGAATTGGACTGTATGTGGGGTCCTGTAGAGTAATGGTTAGAGCACTAGCCTTGCAAGCGAGAGGACCCAGGTTTGATTCTGGGCAAAACCGTATGCACATTTCCTTACTCCATACGCCTCTGTTTACCTAGCATTAAGTAGGAATCTGGTTGTTAGTCGATTGGTGGATTGCTCTCTGAGGCTAATAGTCTCTAAAAAAAATATAGATTTGGTCACTTAATCCACGACTGTTTCTGGGACACTGTTGTGTGCAATTGGCTGCCGCGTTTCGCACGCAAAATACACAGCCAATTTACTTTACGGCACTTTGCCTATTATAGAGAGGCTATTGCTGCCTTGGCCAACAATTCACAAAATAAAATTGATCATTCACTTAATGGCTGTTTGTGGAACACCGCTGTGCGCAATTTGGCTGCTGCATTTGCCTACAAATACACTAACTGTTTGGGACATCACCATTATGTAATAAGATACTATTGTCAAACACAGGCACGTATTAATTGGAAATATTATTATTTATTATTAGGCTTTCAGGTCTACTGTATCTGCTTGTTTCCTACTTAATCTTAGCCACAGCGCTCACTTCCCCCCCTTCCTGACCACTGCATTTCAAAAGCTGATTTGGAAATTAAGAGGAACTGATCAGTTGGTAGAAGTGGAAGGGGAACACGTACAATAATATCTGATCCGAGAATGATTGCATATCACCAGCATGAACTGAGAAGTTTTATCTGTTTCACATGTGATGCGCAAACTTTTTAACCAGTGGAATAAAAAAAAGTATAGAATTGATTGGAAAGATGTGAGACTTGTTGGGAATGTGGATTAGAAATAATAAGGTGGACATCGGTAATTGTGAAGGCAGCGGGTGTTGCAAAAATCAGCCAAGTGTTTGACACAAGGAAACCTATCACCACGCTTAAGAGTATGCTGCTTTAGTGGTTAAAGTCCAGCAATGTGGACTCTGATCTCTCCAAGGAGGGGAAGGTGACCATAGGCCTGGTCGAAGAAGTAAATCTTGTCAACCTACATCTGGGATAAGGTAAGAAAGGTGATTCCCTCCTGGGAGAGAGTGCGCATTCCAATCAAGTCATAGGAATTCCATGTGTAGGTGGCATACATGGAACTCTTAGTCTGGTTTGGATACTCTTCAGCATCATGGTAGGTTTCTTCATGTATCAGACACCTGGCTGAGCAAAAAAAAATACTCTAATACTGTACCATTAGATACCTGAGTAAATTGAACTCTGGATAATAATTAAAAGCTAACAGCATCAATTTAATCAGTTAAGAAGTACAATACTTGAGTCAGTAGCATTGTGTAGTTTGAAAGTTGGATGTTGAATATGGTGACGTGATCTTAACCATCCACTGAAGAGGCAGACCAGCATCTTTTAATTTATTATTATAATATGTGACAGATATGGAAACTAATGCTAAATTACTGCATTTTTAAAAAGAATCTGTAATTTATTAAATGGTCAAGAAAGCCTTTGCCTTGCATTGCCTTTACAAGGTGCATATTTACAACCTGCATATTAATGCTACTGGAGCACTAGAGTTTATAGAAAATGGTGCAACAATTTGCATTTACACATATATATTATACAGCAATTGACATAGGATAACATCTTGAAGCACTTCACAGTGGTAAGGTTGGACCCAAGGAAGGGAGGAAGGGGAAGATAACTGTTGGTCAAAGAGGAAGGTTTTTTNAAGATGGGATTTAAAGAGGGGGCGAGGCAGAGGGATTGGGGTGTGGGACATAGTGACTGAAGGCTCAGCCACTGATGGTGGTGCAGAGGGAGTGGATGACAACAATGAGCAACTGAGTGGAAGAGGCGAGCAGAAGAGTGGGGTATTGGCAGATCAGAGAGCTAGGATGGTCTGAGGGTATAAGGGATTTTATATATAAGAGTGAGGATCTTGAAATCAATCCGAGTGGAGTCAGTGGAGCTTTAACCAGACATGCACTGTTTAATGGGATTTCTTGTTCTTGTTTTGCAGCCAGGGATTACAGCTCCTTCTGTGACAAGCAGCCAATTGGAAGGCAATTCTTCAGGCAATTCTGTGAGACTCGATTAGAATCGAAAAGATGTATTGAATTCCTAGATGCAGTGGTAAGTCCTCCAGATAAAGAAGTTGGGGGTGGTGGGGGAGAATGGGTTCATCCCAATTGGGATCTATTAAAATCCCAAATCCCCTTAGTGAGACGCAATAGAGGGTCACTTGTGTGCATTCAGCTGACTGGCTTCCAGCGTGCCGACTGACTCTCACCTCAAGGGCAGAAGATTGTAGGTTCAAGTCCAGCGTCACAGACTGTCAGGTTTTGGGCCAGCGCTGTGCCGGGACATCGCTCCATTGTTGGAGGTGAGCTTTGTGAGCCGATCAACCCCCATCTGCCGATCAACTACCTCTGTGACATATTTAAACTTCAGCAGTTTGCCCGCTCCCTCTGCTCTGCAGGCACTGGCCTATTCCGCATCCCTTGCCTACTCCACTATCAGTGGTTGGGCCGTCAGTCTTCTTGCCTCCTCCCTCTAGAACTCCATCCCGGAGACCCTCAGCCTTGTCCTCTCTTCCCTCCTTCATGACTCGTCTCAAGAATTTCCTTTTCGACTGTACCTTCGGTCATCTTCCCTTCTCCATCCCCCCCCCACCCATTAGCCTCACCCCCTCTCTGATCCCAACTCGCAGCTCAGGGACAAAACCCACATCATCCAGTGCCTTAGGAAGTCCTCCCGACGCGAAATACACTGTAGAAATGAAATTTGTTGTTGTCGGATGTACCATCCTTCAGATGGCACATTAAACCAAGGTATAGTCAGCTTGTTCAGTTTGAACATTACAGATCCAGTTGCAGGCTGTAAAACCGTCGGGAATAGTTAAAGTACAATTAGATGCAATAATAAATGAGGTAATGGAATAGAGGATTGGAAAAAAAACAAGAGACCATTAACCAAGGCTAGTCTCATTTCTCATTCAGATCCTGTAGTTAATACAAGAGCATCTCTGCCTGGATAGACAGGAGTTCTGCTTTGTCTTTATATGACGGTGGGTGGGAGGAAGGAAGTTAACAAGAGAATAAAAGTGTTACAGATATTAAAAAGCGTTTGAGTGCATCAGGCAGGTTTAATCATCCGTAAATGATGTGCTGGCTCCCAGAATGGGCATCTACAGCAAGGAATTCCACTTTCAAAGCCTCTTTTTCCTCCCACAATCTTCAGCACTCATCTTCATCCTCCCCCCATCTCCAACCCCAATTTGGGTGGCCAGTTAGCAGTATAACAACTTGCATTTATATAGCACCCTTTATGTGAGGGGCAGAATCTCAGAGGGCTTAACAAAGGCGGAATCTGACACCGACCTGGGGGGAGGGAAGAGGTGACCTTAAGCACGGTCGAAGAGGAAGGTCTTATCATTATCTAAAAGAAGGGAAGGAGGGGGCAAGGCGGAGGGATTGAGGGACAGAGTTCCAAAGCTTTGGTAAATAGTGGTGGAAAGCAGAGCTACCGATGATAGAGCGGAGAGGACGAGGATCGAGCAGGAGGCTGGAACCAGCCAAGGGGAGGCAGTGGCTGGTGAAGTGCGGAGTGCGCTTGACCTGGAAGGCATTACATAAATGTGTATTGTGAGAGCTGCACGTCCAAATGGATGCATTCTATCACCCTGTACAAATACTGCTGCAGTGTCGTAATAACTGGTTTGATTCTGACTTGTTGTTGTTGTGCAGACCGAGTACGAGGTGGCTCCAGATGAGAAGAGACGGGATTATGGACTCCAGCTTTTAGAGACTTACTTCAACAATGGGGTACGTTTCTTAACTTTCTGATGCAAACTTTTCTCCGTTGGTAACCTGACTGGCTCACACCCTTTGCTCAGAGGCAGTGCAGTCAACTGGATCATCTGGGTCAAGTGCTTTGATGCTGGGTCGGATAGTTAGTCACAATTTAACTGTTTGCTCGGTGCAAAAATGTTAAAATAAGCTTTTATTTTAGTTTCAGCTGAGTTAAGGTTACGTCCGGACTTTTGGGTTTAAATCCAGGTGGGTTCACTTGGCCCTTTACACTTTTGAGGTCAATAAAATAATCACCGTTCAGTTTTATTTAAAAAGCATTCTCCCTTTGAGCAAAGAATGGTGAAAATATTCTTTTCTGTGCTGGAGGGTGGAGGGGCTGAGTAAAACCCAGTTAAAGGGTCAGTCCCCTTGAAGACAGGTGAGCCGTTGGCTTGACTGATCGATCCATTGGCCAGCCAGAGGTGAGGTCGCCCTAATGGGCAGCTCGTTGGGCTATAAGTGGGCGGTTGCCGTCGATGAGCTGGGGGAGGAGCAAGAGGGGCCCGAGGCGGCTGTGGGTTGGGGCTGCGACTGCTCGGAGAACTGGCTATGGTCCTCCTCAGGGCTTTCCCCTTCTAGCTCCTCTTAAAGAGATGAACCGCAGACAGGTTGGGGGTGACTGAGCCTGCCCTAGCCTGTGCTTTCAGGGAGTGATGAGCGAGGTCTCCCTAGGACTGAACTGAGAGGACACGACTGAGCAAGAGAGGGAATAATCCAGAGAAGACTTGGCAATGATAGACACGCCTTCTATCCAGGAAACCACACAGGTGGGGAGGTCCTAGCTAGCTGGGTGCCATCCTCAGTGAGTTGCTATTTATTTATTTACTTACTTACTTACTTACTTATTTATTAATTAAATAGCTGGCTGCTATTTTGCTGAAGTGGCCGTGAGTAGTGTTTGAGCGAGCGGATGTTGGCAATTCTGTGAAAAATTACCATTTTGTTCTGTGGTTTGTTTGAAGGGCTTTTATTAATGAAACTCATGTGTCAGTTGCTATATAATCTTCTGATTGTTTGAACCCTTCATCTACACCATCTACTTAGAATGCCAGTGTGTACTTTTTATATCCATCCGGTTGGAGCGTTTGTTTAGAATTTGCGTGAATTTTCTAACATTGCTGATGAAAATTCATGAATGTTTGCTGATAAGCAAACTACGTCTGCTACACCCTTCTCGTGTTCATATTTGTTTTCTCCCCCCCCATCTTATTCTCTGTCCACTTCCCCCCTCCCCCTATGTTAAGCTTCCAGCATTTGCATGTTGAGAGCCCCCACCTGTGTCTCACAAAAGGGGGGACTTGCATTACTGAGAACCCTCCTGTGACTGAGCCGGGACGGAAGACCCACTTTGGTTGAGAGAGGAGGGTTTTATGGAGTCAATAATTTTCAATAATTTTGTCAAACTATTAAGATTTTTTTTAGTTGGGCAGTGAAGCCAGAACAAATGACGATTCTCCCCTCGCCATCAGGGCTGGGTTTTTAAATGTAATGCTGGAAGATGGGAAGGGGTGGGAGAGAGAGAGAAAATTGGACCACTGTAATAATTATTCCATGCCTCTCTAATGTTGTTCATTTCAGTCGGCAGCTCATTTGCCCGAAGTGCCCGCCGACACAGTGAGACAGTGTAAGGAAAGGCTGGAACAGAGCCCTTGCAAGGAACTATTTAACGAGTGCACAAAGTAAGTCCGAATTCTTCACTGTATTAGCAATCTCACGTACGTTGTTTAAAACAACAACAAAAATGCAAAAGTAATGGCAAATGAAAGTTCATTTCAAAAAGTTTTTTTGCATACTAGCAATTGGAAAGAAAGAAACGAGTTAGTGAGTTTTAGAGCTAACTCCCAGTAGAGATAATAATCCTTGCCTTTGATATGGTACTGCTATCACGTCACTGAGGCATCTCAAAGTGCTTCACAGGATATACTGTAAAGTAGATTGACTGTTTGTTTTGTTACATAGAGTTATTACCGCATGTTAATGGACCGTTCACCCCAACTATTCGATGCCACTGTTTTTACTCCACAAGAGCCTCCATCACTCCTATTACCTTCACCTAAATCCCTCTATTCCCTTTACCTACACCTCTTTATTTCTTTTTCCCTCATCTAATTCTATTGCATTTTCGGGACAGAAAAATATTCACTGCCAACAAAAGTGATGGTGGATCTGTTTCTGGAAGATCTGGGTGGGGGGATGCAGTGGGAAAAGAGGGGGATTATACTCCTTAGTCTTAGTTTTTGACTGAATTCACAGGAACATAGGAATTGCTTGATTTTAAAAAAAGACTACGGCCCATCTAGGTCAACTTCTACCATCCTGGTAGTTGCATGCAACAATAATGGAGATGTTGACAGCAATCGATTCCGTGTGGAATAGTCTACAATAGAGCTTTGGGAACCTTAGATCCAAAGTATTGTTCTGTTAGTAACCGGTGTGTGGTAACCACCACTGGCACTGTTGATAATTGTTCCCCTTTGTGGTTTATTTTCTTCCTGCAGTTGGTGGAAAATAACAAAATAACAAACAGCTTTCCTGCTCGTGTGTACAGTACGTGTTGTTGTAAGCTGTCACAAGCTCGATAGAACCAGGCCAGTTAGAACATGCACTGTCCCTACCTCAATAGGTATTTGTTATTCCTCAAGCAGGCCTCTGTTCACACACAGCCAGAGAGAGCCCTTTACTCTGTGTCTCTGGTTTCGGGCAAGATCCTCATCCTCACCTACAAGGCCATTCACGGCCTTGCTCCCTCCTACCTCTCCGACCTACTATCCCCCTACTTACCTGCCCGTACCCTCCATTCCTCTGGCTCCGGTCTGCTCCACATCCCCGCCCTAATGGTGGTCGGGCTTTCAGCCTCTCAGCCCCTAGGCTCTGGAACTCCATCCCCCAGTGCTTTTGCCTTGCTTCCTCCCTTTCCTCCTTCAAGGCCGGTCTCAAGACTTTTCTCTTCAACCGTGACTTCACCTCCCCTTTGACTCTTGTCAACATCTAAAATCGCTCCTCAAAACAGTACCCGTTGCCTTCGTTCCTCCGGGTCTGACCTCCTCCTCGTCCCCCAAGTCCTCCGCTCCACCCTCTGCGAACGTGCCTTCAGCCACTATGCCCAGAGGCTCTGGAACGCCCTTCCTCACTCCCATCGCCTCGCCCCCTCTCTTCCTATTTTCAGGTCCCTGCTGAAGACCTTTTTGACTGCGCCTTTGGTCACCTTCCTCCCCCTCCCCTTGGCTCGGTCCCGGAATCCGTTACTGTGAAGCGCTCTGAGACGCCATCTGGCATGGAGAGCGCTATATAAATCCAAGTTGTTGTTGATGTTGTTGTAGATTTGTCTCATTCCGTCAAATGTTCTGGAAAACTCCCTGGTTGTTTAGAAATGTTTGGGTTCCTCAAAATGCAACGAGCCATGGAGCAAAATATGCAATTTTTTTTTAAAAAAGAAAATGTGTCCTCCTAACCAAACTAGCTCAGTATCTTCACGGTGGCTGTTTGATTTATAAATCCGCTTTACAATATATTCTATGAAATGCTTTGAGACATCTCAGCCACTTGATGAGTTGCTGTATCAAATGCAAGGATTATTATTATTGATTTTTTCTGACGTTGTCTTTTGTTGGTGAATCTTATTTCTATAACCCTTGCATTTGATATAGCGCATTTCACGTCTTGTAGATATCTTCTTTCACGTGGGAGGAAATCCCAAAGAGCTTCACAGGATATACTGTAAAGTGTGGTGACTATGTTTGGTGGATGAATGTGGCAGTCAATATGTGGACAGCAATTTCCCACAAACAGCTAGGAAGTGAATGACCAATTTTATTTGGGGGATTTTTGGTCAGGACACTGATAGAAACTCCATTCCTTTTTTGATAGCCATGGGGTCGTTAGGCAGACAGACAGACAGATGGAACCTCGATTTACAACAACTACTTGTGTTTATATAGTGCCTTTCATGTGGCGTAATGTCTTGTTTCGGTACAACATCTCATCCAAATGACAGCACCTCCACCAATGGAGTTAACGCCCAAAAGATTGCATATTTTGCATTAGATTATATGAGTTCCAAGTACCAAAGTCCCACAACTTTCGGACTTGGAGGCTACCAATTTAGCCAGGCTGACGCACTAAAGTTTGAGCATATTATCAAGGTGACGGATATTATTTCTGGAAAGCGATCACTTGAGTGCGGTACCATCTGGCCCAAGTGGAACTGATTCTTGACCTGAGTTCAGCACATTCAGCAGACAAAAAGAATTGGCAGAAAACTTTTCTCACAATCATTCCCTTTTTTTATATATGTGTATGTTAAAATAGTTGATGCTTTTAACACCAATTACACCACCTTTTAATTGCAGAGTTGTCCATGAGTATCTAAGTGGAGGTCCATTTACAGATTATCAAGGAAGCATGTACTTTTCACGCTTCTTGCAGTGGAAATGGTTAGAAAGGTATGTTGTGTAAAGCCTATCTTGTTTTCTTCTTGAACACCAACAGCTGTGTCCCAATTGATGTGTCCTTCCTGATGTGGCATAGAGTTATGTAGAGCAATACAGCATGGAAACAGGCAATTAGGCACAACTAGTCCATACTGGTGCCCATACTCCACACAAGCCTCCACCCCTCCTATTCCATTCACCTATACCCTCTATTCCCTTCTCCCTCATAATAATAATAATAATTCTTGCATTTGATATCGTGCTTTTCACGTCGGGAGGACGTCCCAAAGCGCTTCACAGAACACACTGTAAAGTGAATTGACTGTATATTTGTGGGCGAACGCGGCAGCCAATTGCGCACAGCAATGTCTCACAAACCGTCGTAGATTGAAAATGACCAATTTATTATTGTTTTTGTTTTTTTGGAGGGATTATTATTAGGCGTGTGGAGTAAGGAAACTTGCCCAAGGTTTGCCCTGTCTGGAATTGAACTCGGGTCTCTCACTTGCAAAGCGAGTGCTCTAACCACTGAGCTACAGGATTCCACAATATCATGTATGATGTCTAAAGTCTATGTGGGAGTCTGTTTAGTTGCATTTAACCTCCAGGCATCTCCAGAAACTCCCTGGTTAGACAATTAGCACTTCTTGGAGTTACTGTGTATGTGTGTGTGGGGGGGTGGGGGGGAGAATAGAGAGTAAAAGAGGTGGGGCTTGTAATTGTTGCCCTCTATCCTCTCAACTCCTCTTTCATAGTAATGGGCTATTTTGACTTCCGTGTTGGGTCCAGCTCTCTATTCCTCACCTCCACCCTGATTTGCTGATGTGCAAACCAAACAGACTGCCCCAGCTATGACTCCTTCTCACATTCCTCTCTCCCCCACCATCCCACACACACGCACACACTCACTCCTTCAACATGTGTCAACTCACTTGTTTTCAGTTGAGTATGTAACTTGATTCATTTTAGAATTCACCTTGCTTACTGGATGAATATTGTGACCCGGCTTATTTTCTTTCATCCTTAGGCAACCTGTAACCAAATATACTTTTAGGCATTATAGAGTACTAGGAAAAGGAGGATTTGGCGAGGTAAGTGCATTTCATTTTCTTTTCATACGATGCGTTGTTGAAGATTATTGTTGCATCTCTCTCTATGCCGTCTCCATGTTGAAGCCTGGGAAGGGTACGTGGCTGGTAGTGGTACTGGAGGGGAAAGAGGAGACGAGCATTTTTCACGTTCTCAACCATTGGATGACAATCTGACTGTTTTCTCAAGAGATGCCATTTCCAATGCAACAACAAGATTACATTTGTATAGCGCCTTTCACGTTGGGAAGACGTCCCAAGGCGCTGGACAGTGTACAGCATTTCAGACCCGAGCTGGGGTCGGGGGGGTGGGGGGGAGAAGGGAGGGGAGGGAAAGGAGGGTGGGTGATGGCATGGTCGAAGAGGATGGTCTTGAGGTGGAAGCCAATGGAGTCAGGCGAGAGTGGGGGAGATGGGGTCACAGAGTTTGGTGCTGGAGAGGACATGGGCTGCAGAGTTCTGAATTATCTGCAGCCTGTGGAGGGAGGAGTTGGGAAGGCCGACAAGCAGAGCGTTTGCATAGTCGAGCCTGGAGGTGATGAAGGCATGAACAAGAGTTTCAGCGGCCTGAGGGGTGAGGTAGTGGAGGAGTCAGGCGATGTTACGGAGGTGAGGGAAGGCAGAGTGGGTCATGGCTTGGATGTGCGGAAGAAAAGACAGTTAAGGGTCGAACAGGATGCCTAGGTTCCTGACTGGCTTGTTGAGTTGTAGTGAGCAACCATGGAGGTTGATGCTGCCAGATTCTGAGGTGCAGAGGCGCTGGCGCGAGCCAATGTAGGCCCCGTTCCCCTATTGCAAACCCGTTGATTAAGGATGAGTGTTCATCCCATGCCTCACATTAGTCTTAGTGCAGCTCTGTGTTTGACTCCTGGTGTAAGGAAAATTAGAGGCTGCTTTAACTCTGTTTTAGTGAGTGCCAAAACAACTTTGTGTTCAATAAAGGATTCCTTGAATTCTGGGATTTGTAGGTAGGGCAAAACCTGAGCCAACTTTCCTTATTGCACACGCCTCTGCAGTAAGGAGGAACCTGGTTGTTGGTTGATTGGTGGATCTCTTTCCGGGGTTAATAATCCCTCAAAAAAATTGGTTACTCAACACGCGACTTTTTGTGGGAAACTGCTGTGTGCAATTGGTTGCCACATTTCGCCCCAAAAATACAGTCAATTGACTTTGTATTACATTCTATGAAGCACTTTGAGGCGTCTCAACATTGTGATAAAATGCAAGGATTATTACTATATTATTATGATTTTTGCATGTATATTTCTCCCACTGGTAAAGGAACCGACTTTCTCACAAGAATGAAAGCCTTTGTTGTAGGGTAAACCAAAACACTCAATCCAACTGACTGGTTCACAGGGCCACAGGTTGATCAGTTGCTCTCACTAGCCTGTACTTGATCCTCTCCAGAATTAACTAACTAGGAGGCGTCTCTCCAGGGAGAGGGTGCACATTCCATTTCCAGCCGCAGGGAAATTTCCATGTGTAGGTGGCGTATGCATGTGGAGCTGTCCATCTGGTTTGGATACTCTTAACCACAGTGAAGCGTTTGTGCATGTGTCAGACACCCAGCTGATCAAAACCACAATCAGTTGCCCATCCCAGTCAAGCTATGATTTGTGGAATGGGTGATTTGGGGAGAGATAAGCCAATAAAACCTTGGCGTATCTCATCACATGGCTTATAGCATCGTGCTGTCAATATCCCAGCTGTTCCAATGCAAAATGTGAATAAGGGATGTACCCCCTTTATCTCATCACTCACTTATAATGTATAAAGTCTCATCCATACAACCCAGTAAGTAAAATATCAGATATACCATTGGAAAACACTTAGCTCAGCTAACCGTGTCACGTGCTGGGGACGCTCAGTGAACTCTCGTGACGAGCAGCCTGCACTGCAGGTAAAGCTCACCCTCAACCATCTGCTGTTGTGACTGTTGTAGTAAAGATCTCTCTGAGTAGAAATGTCAGATCTTGCCTTCTGTGAGGTTCTGCCTGATTGCTAAAGTCTGAGTGAGGTTGTTAAAATGAGCAAAAACATTTTTGTAGACACATATGTCTATACAGACCCTTATACTGTACTTAACTTAAACATGTTTTAATAAATAAATGTAGCTGTTCTATTATACTGACAGCTGCTCACTGGATGCAGGAGCGATGTGTTGGCGTAGGTCCTCCTGACCACAGCGCTCTAACCTGCCACGGAGAACTCGTGCCCATGTTGTCATCCCGGATATTGTCACTGAGCTCTTTTCTCCTGGGGTGATGATGTATTAGGAGTTTACTGTATTTTCAAATAAATGAATAATAATTTGGTCATTTCAATCCACGACTGTTCGTGGGACACTGCTGTGCGCAATTGGCTGCCGTGTTTCGCCCACAAAATATACAGTCAATTCACTTTACAGTTTATTCTGTGAAGCGCTTTGAGACATCTCAACGACGTGATAAGGCGCTGTATCAAATGCAAGTATTATTTTAAATAACTACCTTTTTGTTCCCTTTTCTGTCCCACCCACACCCCCACCACCATCATAAACCAGGTGTGCGCTTGCCAAGTCCGTGCGACGGGGAAGATGTATGCTTGTAAAAAGCTGGAGAAGAAAAGGATAAAGAAACGGAAAGGAGAAGCTATGGCGTTAAACGAGAAGCAGATTTTAGAGAAGGTTAACAGTAGATTTGTTGTAAGTTCAGCAAGTTTTTGTAACTTGTCACATAAGTGTTGCTTATTATCCATGCCTCTTACAGTCAAAACATTCTGTGTATGTTTTATACATATGGCGATAATCGTGTTACAACAAGGTTCCCAGAATTATATAAGAACATATTATCATTATGTAAGAACATAAGAATTGCTAGACGAAAGAAAACCAAGATCCATCCAGTTCGCCTTCCACCATCCTGGCAGTCGCATGTCATGTCCCAAACTATATACTGTATCCCACACTATTCAATAGTTTTCGGGTTGTCACGATGAACAGGAAGCACCACTGACGTCCCATCCTGTGCACCGTTTGTGAGCTACCCGCAGGAAACGTTGCTGATTTCGCTTCCTTATGCTGTTAGCCAACGGTGCTCACTGTGAACAGAGGCATGCACAACACATAAGAAATAACAGCAGTGACTGACAGACCTAAAGGTCAGTTATTTGTTGGTGCAGGACCTGAAGCCAAGTGTATTTACTCTATACTTGCAGTCCAGTGCTGTAAGTGAGCACTAATACTGGGGGAGGGGGAGGGGGGTGTTATAAACTGATTCCCTTATAACACCTTACTTTTTCATTAAGAAAATAATGTGACACATCTCTAAAGTTGTGTTGAGAAAAAAATTACCTTTGTTACGTTTAGTTCATCTTGGAACATTCAAAAATGAATCCAGCAAATGATTTTTAAACGAAGAATTGTTCTATCTATATTTCCTTACCTCATAATTATGCAGCGGACTTGCTCTCCTGCTTAATTGTTCCACTTGACAAGCTGGCTATTGAGTATTCCTTCACCCCTCCACCCCTCTGCCTCACTATTGGTGTCAGAGCCTTTAGCCACTATGCCCCTAACCTCTGGAACTCCCTCCCTAAATCCCTCCACTTCATCCCCTCTGTATCTCTCTTCAAAAGACTCTTGGAAGCCTAATGTTAGACTGTGCCTGCAGTCACATGTCTTCTCTCACACACTACCTATTCATTGTCTGGCACTGTCTTTGTAAAGGGGCTTTAAGACGTTGCCCTATTTGAAAGCCACCCTACAAATGCAAATTATTGTGTCCTTTCATCACACCTGAGTTAACTCAGCACAGGCTAGAGATGAAATCGTTGACATTGCTGGTCTGTCTGCCTCTGTGCCACTGAAGCCATTGGATGTGACCTTAATGTATTAATTGCTTAATTCAATAGGCGAATTAACTGGCCACTTTAGATAAACTCAAATATTGAAATCAAACAAAAAGAAATCTACAAATCGTGTGTCCGCAAATCGATAAATTCCAATGTATTATACATATTGATTAGCTAAAGCACTCTGAGAGGCTACCCTGTGTGAAGGGTGCTATGGCGCTATACAAATGTAATCTTGTATATAAATGCAAGTTGCTGTTGTAATTGTTTGAACAGGTCCACAGTAAAACTGTTTACTCAAGGTTATCAGATTTAGAGATATATACATCGAAGGAATGGACAGAAATTGTTACCAATTATCTCGACAAGAATCACCAGTGAATAGAAAATTGTGAAAAACTGTACATATGTATATTTATCTTGTGTGAGCAGCTATTTTGATTCTTAATCAGAACTGTCTCTGTTTTGTTTGGATTTCTAGGTTAGCTTAGCATATGCCTATGAAACAAAAGATGCACTGTGTTTGGTACTGACCTTAATGAACGGTGGTGACTTGAAGTTTCACATCTACAATATGGGGAATCCAGGCTTTGATGAAGAGAGAGCGGTCTTCTATGCTGCTGAAATCTGTTGTGGCCTGGAGGACTTGCATAGAGAGAGAATTGTGTATAGGTAACAACTATTTCCCTTAATTTGTTCCAGGAGAGCATCATAAGTCCTATTAAATTGAACTATTGTTATACAGATGCTGTTATAATGACCAATATACTACAATCTTACTTTGAAACCTGAAATCCTAAAGTGAGATGGGAGTAACGAAAACATAATTGACCTAGTGTATGCAATGTACCTGTGCACCAGACAAATCAGCAACCCAGTGGAAGGCCACTTGACCATTGTATTGTGTTGGTGTCACCTCAATTTTTCTGATGTCCTCCATGCCAATGTCCTCAGCTCCACCATCCGTAAAATCACTTAATGCCCAAAATCTCCCTACCTCGCTGACATGCTTACACCCCACTCCGGCCTTCTACATGTCTCTTATCCCCTCGGTTGGCTGTGCTTTAAACCACTAAGTCCTCAAAAGCCGTGAACTCTGCCTCAATCCCACCTAAAGACTTTTCTCTCTGACTATGCTTACGGTCACCTCCACCCTCCCCCCACCTCGGTGTTAAGCTACACCACTATTAAGAGCTCCGAGATGCTGCCCGCGTAAAGGACACGGTATAGATGCTTGCTGGTACATTGCTGTGTGCAAAATTGACTGGCGTGTTCACCCATGCATGCTACTGACCCATGGAAATTTCCTTGTCTCTGAAATAGAACTTTAGAGGTTCGCAGGTGTATTACCAAGTCTATTGGGTGACCCCAGGATGTGTGTAAAAAAATATACAGTCGCTATACTTTCCAGAAAATCTTGTGAAACATGTTGAGACACCTTCCTGCGAGCTCTGACACCAGAATGGTGGATCAGGCCCGAGAGGCTGAATGGCCTATACTTCTGTTTCTATGTTTCTAAACCACATTTCCGCCACGGAGGATTGACATGATTCCAGCATTTGATTGCTGAGCGTGCCAGCCCCAAGGAGACTTTGCTCACTCTCCACCCACCCCAAGGTGGATAGTCGCTGGTTGTTCATTTAGCCTGGTCACCAGTCAGAGCTGTCACAAATTTATTGAAATGAAATGTTTGTTATATATAGAAGTGAATGTGCGCCTGCAGTGGCATAATGGCATTTTAGAAAATTATTGCTTTGGGTGGAGTGGGAAGCTATCCAGGTAAAGCACACCAGCATCCTCTTGTGGTGAAAGTAAACACTGCAGAGAAGGACCTGTTTTCAGTTTCAAGAAACAGACTGAAGTAACACATAATGTCCTGAAGCTTTTAAAAATTCTTATGGTTTTGTTACCTCCTCATGTATCAGAGTGCATCCATTATCAAATAGGAAAATTAGTGCCTTTTTAAGAGCCTTTATTTGCTTTCAAACTGGCTCTTACCAGTTTGTGCATAATACTCTCCGGAATTAGGTAAACAGAGTCCAAAATGTTATCCTGGTGTTTGTATAATCCTGGTTACAGAGAAGTGCTTTGTGTTTTTCTTTTATATCAGAATAGTGTCCTGGTCCAGCCCCCAGCAGTTGGCTGGGGGCTGGGCCTGTTCTACGTGTTGTGTAAAAGCATGTGCACATAGTGAGTTATGGGTGGTTATAATTATGCAATTAACCATAAGCTGTTTTATCTGGACAGCAGAACCAGAGTACACGACCTGCGTTTGAAGGGGGAGGTAAATCTGTGGAAACACTGCTTCAATGAGCGAGTAGTAAACTTATGGAATAAGCTCTCTAGGGAGACAGACAGTGGAAGCAGAAAATGTTGTTTGTTTCAAGAACAAATTAAATAGATTTCTGCTAGAAATTAATATCTCGGGATACAGTGTATAGTTTGGGACATGACATGTCAAGCGACAGCCAGGATGGTGGAAGGCAAACTAGATGGACCTTAGTCTTCTTTTGCCAGCAAATGCTTATGTTCGTATACCTAAGGAGAAGTCTTTACTGAGTCAGTCTTGAGTGTCTCACTGAAGTCCAGTTGGAGGTCTTTTTTTTTGCCTCCGTCTGGGATATTTGTTCTGTCCTCAATGTTCATATCTCAATCTCTTTACATAAGTGAGTTTTATTTTGAGCATGCATAGTAAGCGAGGGTATGGCTGTTTTCCTGTTTTTTTGACACATGCGGAAACCCATCCCCATGCTTAAGAGTATCCAAACCAAGCTGAGATTTCCAGGCATCCCACCTACACATGGAATTCCCAGAGACAGATTGCTGGAATGGAATGTGACTCTCTCCCTGGAGGGACACATCCTGCTTTCCTAATTCGGGGAAATATTAGGCACAGGTTGACAAGAGCCAAGGCTTGGGGACCCCAGAGTGTGTGTTGGGGTAACTGCTGGCGTCTAACCAACTACTTTCCTTTACAATATTGTTGACCAGGACACTGGAAGAAACACCTGAACAGGCTGATGGGGCCTCAATTTAATGTCTCACCTGAAGGAGGTTATCTCGCTCACTTTTTTTCACATCCCCCACGAAGGACAATCGCAGTACGCCTACTGGTGGCCAGGCTAAATCAGCTAGCTCAGCATAGAACAGCATTAGACCTACAACGTTTCTACGCTGTATGGCTTGTTTGCAACACTTAGATATAATCGCCCAATACTTGTTCACGATCACAGCGACTGCACTTAGACATGTGCTAGGGAATGGACGAAAAGGTTCAAAAGGGGAATACAGTCAGAACCAAGGACTGAACTGTTGGTGGCTAGATGAGACTGTTAGATTATCAGAAGATAGATAGTGCCACGGCAACAATTTTAGGCAGCTTTGAACATTGATTAATCTGTTCTACCCATCCATTTTGCCATTCCTTTCGATGTATCTCTAAATCTAATAATAGTCATTTCAGGCTGGTGCAGATCAGCAGTTAATCTGGCCGGCAATTTGTTTTCCATCAAAATTTGCAAGACTATGGGGAACGAGCGGGGGAGTGGGATAGGCATCATGGGCAGAATGGCTCCCTTCTATACTGTAAGATATGATACCCACAACTAAATGCCTACCTCTATTTTACAACCAGCAGTCTGTCTGCCCTAGCTGTATTTGTAAGCCAGGTGGAGATGATAATAATCCTTGCATTTGGCATGGTCAGGAAGGAGGTGTTTTACATGTAATGAAATACTAAGATTTTATTTTCATTCAACTTTCTGCAAAAGTTTCCTAAATGCGAAAGACTGATGCTGTTAATAGTTCAATGCAGATTTTCATTTCCTTGCCAGACGTTTATTGGATGTTTTTCTTTCCTTCCCTAGAGATTTAAAGCCAGAAAATATTCTTTTGGATGATCACGGTAAGACTCTTTAACTTGTAATAAATTGTCTTAGGTGACTTGACTGTAGGAGATTGGGAGAAAGGAGGTAATTCAGTGGAGAGCTTGACCCTGACCCTGTTCTTGACCGACATCCACACTTGCAAACCTTTCAGCAAGAATCGCTGTGCAGTGATCAGGGGAGGCAACCCACGTTAACTTTTCTGTCTCTCACATGAGAGCTGAGACCTTTACTGCTGTCCCAACTCAGATCAGCTAATTCTGCCCGTGCTGGAGATTCAACACAGGAACATTTTCCTACTGTCAAACATCTGAGAGAACCTCTGCTGTGTATTTGGTTACCTCAAAAAGAAAATCTCCCACTTGCTCTGTGTCCACTGCTCCCACACTCGAAAATTGAGATAGCCTTTTAAGTGACTGACAAAGTCTTGCTTGGCTCAGCTACTGAGTGGATCTACTTGCTGAGCATTTTGGATTACAGCCGTTGTTCTTTATGAAGAAAACTTCTTTAGTTGGGGCACGGGGGGGGGGGGGGGGGGGGGGGGGGTAAGGGTAAGGTGGATGTTCTAGGGGCTGAACTACAGTAATCCAGGAATTTTTGGTTGAGCAGACATGTCTCTTCACTGAGACATCATGATGTGGCTACATCCTCATCACTGTGAGCCACAGCCCTAACTGGTAGGATGAGCTAAGCTGGACAAGTAATGTGCTGTGGTTACATTCCAAAACAATGATTTGCTCTTGTACTTATAGCTCCTTTGATGGAGGAGGAATGTCTCAAATGCTCTACAGAGATAACAGGGAAGATTGAGAGAGCAGAATTGAAGGGTGTTCATCAAATGCCTGGTCAAACAGAGGGGTTCTATAAATGTTTTTTGAAGTTAGGGAGAGAATAAGCAATTAGAAGGGATTTGGGGAGGGAGTGGGTTCCATAGAGCAGGATCATGCTGTAATTTTCTTTTTCTTTCCGACTCCTTCAAAATCCTGTTGCATCCTTATTCAACCTACTGTATAGAGTGATTCAGAGTGGATCAGTTCAGAATGGGCCACACCAAATAATATAATAATAATCCTTGTACCACTTACATCTCAAAACACTTAACAAGAATTATTGCATTGTGAAGTGAATGTAAATTTGTAGACAAACGGGGCAGCCTATTTGTGCATGTTAATGCACCCCAAACAGCCATGAAATGAGTGACCTCATTTCTTTTGATTAACAGTCAATTTTGTTCACAGGTCATATCCGGATTTCTGACCTCGGTTTAGCTGTACAAATCCCAGAAGGGGAATCGATCCGGGGAAGGGTGGGAACTGTAGGATATATGGGTAAGTACAGGAGTTAAACAGAAGACTTCTTACTTGCAGTTACTTGGGTGAATCTACATCAATTAAAGAATCAAATTATCTTTGTCCAATTTCAATGGATTTTTTTTCTTAGAAACTGTGTTCTCTGCTCACCGAGCTATTAAACCTGACTTGTGATTACTTTTTCCTCTCTCTGCCTTTGTTTCTATGGATGTTTCTGCTTTTTGGACATATCTGCTACAATCAAGAGATTCAAGTACATGCACTGTCAGCCTTTGGGGTCAGTGACAAGTGATCAGCAGTGGAGGGTCCCATTTATTTATATTTTCCACGTTCTTATCCCAGGGACAACAAGGCCAATTGTAATGTTCCCAACACTGCTCTGGTTCAGATGAGGTTATTCAACATGCATTAGATATTGAATCTGGGGCCATTTTGACCTGTATGCTCAGTACTGGAATGTAGTACATTTAACTACAAAGCAATTAGTGGGATGGTGCTAATGTGTTTATTGATTGGGAGATTGTTGCTTTACTGGCATTGTTTGCAGGCAAAATGAGCTGATCTGCAGTAAAACAATGTGACTTTGTCATGGTAGAATTATAAAAATTGACAGCAAACTTAATAAATCTGTCCAATGATAACATACAAAATGTGCTTTTTGCTCGTTGATCACAAGACTGGTTTGCATGAGAAAGACTCTTTGGCCTATTTGATCCAAACCTTTCAGAATATACGTGCTAGCATCATCCCAACATTTTAAATGAAAAAAATGGCCTCAACCACCCTTCCTGGTAACCTGTTCCAGTAGGTAATTACCCCTGGGAATACTTCCTAGTATCTGTCCTGAAATTACCCTTTGCAACTCTAAGCCTGTGTCCATCCATTTGTTCTAATGCCTTGGTGCATCTGAAAGTATTATTCTAAGTTTACATTTTGCATCCAATTTAACATCTCCTTTCAAGACTGAAGAACCCTATCTTGTTTAATCTTTAAACTGCTTAAGAACATTACTTTTATTTTTCATTAATTGTGTTTTGTAAAAAGCTTCAAAGCACTTATTTACGTGAAAGGCAAGATATTATTTTTGAAAGCAGCTGATGGTTGAGGCAATCTTACCTTTTTTTGTAGCTCCAGAGATTATCAATAATGAAAGCTATTCCTTCAGCCCTGACTGGTGGGCTCTTGGTTGCCTAGTTTATGAGATGATCCAGGGTCAGTCACCTTTTCGGAAGAGGAAAGAGAAGGTGAAGCGGGAGGAAGTTGATCGACGTGTCCGAGACGATGTTGAAAACTACTCTGAAAAGTTCTCTGAAGATGCTAGCTCGATCTGCAAGATGGTAAGTAACAGGCAGGTGTCCTCGGTTTAATGTGTCACACGAAGGAAGGCAGCAATGCAATGCTCTCCCAGCACTTCATGTCAAATGCAAGGGTCACCATTATTATTTAAATGAAATGTCAACTTAGACGAAAAGCTGAAAGTCCTGACATGGGGCTTGAACCCAAAACATTCTGACCCAAATCTGAGTGTGCTATCAGCTGAGCCAGTCTGACATCCAGAAAGGACTTTGTGACTATCCAATGTAAGTGCTGTGTGTCTCTTGGTCTTTGCAGTTACTGACCAAAAATCCAAAGGAGAGGTTGGGCTGCAAGGGGGAAGGAGCTTCGGAGATAAAGCAACATCGTATATTTAGAACCATCAACTTCAAGAGGCTGGAGGCAAACATGCTGGATCCTTCTTTTGTTCCAGATGTAAGTACATAAACTGGCCCCAATTGTGGGACTGGTGGTGTTGAGAGGATCATCTTCCCTTTATTTTCCTATCTTCGTTCGGTTTCAGTAATTGAGAGTTGAGCCGGGTCCGGTTTCTCTTGTGGTGGCTTTCCTTTCCTGCCTCAGGATGCACGTGACAGTCTTGCTAACAGGTGGTTAAACCAGGGCAGAGAGCATGAGTGACGTGAGAACCTGTGTGAGTCTGATCGAGAGGCATCAAGTTCAGCGACTGTGGGACTAGCAACTTCAATTATAAATATTTGATGCTTAATAGGTACTGTACAAATGTGTAATTCTCCACGATTTGCAACCTTTAAAATATAAATTGATTCAAAACTTCTGCAGTTTTAAAATTTTAAGAGCATAAAAAATTAGTAAACACAACATTTGATGAAGCGCTTTTCACGTCAGGAGGATATTTCAAAGCGCTTTACAGAATTCACTGTAAATTTAGTGACTTTTTATTCAAACAATGCAGCAAATATGTCCACACCAATATCCCATAAATAGCTTTGACGTGAATGACTGGTTTTATTTGAGGAGATTGTTGGCCAGGATAACAGAAGAAGCTCCCTTCTCTTTTTGAATAGGGCCACACGATTTTTAACATCTGAAGGATGGAATTTTAGCATGTGTACCCTTATAGCATCCTCTTTCAGACCCATATTTTATCCTTTAGGGATAAAGGAAAATAATAAACCTTGGTTATCTCGGAATGTGAACCTGCCACCCTGTTGAAATGTTAGATAACCTTAACCTGAACTGTTTTTTCTCCCCTGTATTTAGTTGGCTTTGACGATCCAAAACTGAAGTTACAAAAATTCAACCCAATTATTGTTCTAAGATTAAGAAAAATGATCATCCTGATTTGATTTTTTTNACACTCCAGAATTTAACCTTAGGTCATACCCATACAATTGCAATTTACAATCCGCCATGTCTACAGCATAAGTATGAACCTGGCGTGTCTACTTCTACGGAGTCTTGTTGCATAGTGGTTAATACGATCGCCTCGCAAGCGAGAGGACACAAGTTTGATTCCTGGACGGGGAAAATCCTTTGCCAAGTTTCCTTACTCTGTTCACTTAGCTGTAAGTAGGAACCTGGTTGTTAGTTGATTGGTGGATCACTTTCCAGGGGTAATAATCCCTCCTCCTCCCCCCCCAAAAAAACCTTGGTCACTCAATCCACTACTGTGTGGGACACTGCTGTGCGCAATCAGCTACTGTGTTTCACCCACAAAATATCGAGTCAATTCACTTTACAGCATACTCTGTGAAAGCTTTGAGATATCTCAACAATGTGATAAGGAGCTATATCAAAATGCAAGTATTATTATTATGGCACGATCTGTGAAAATCTCTAGCGTTTGAGACTCCGACTGACTGACAAACAATCCCTCGGAAGCCATTTTTTAGCCCCGCTAATTTTTTGTAAGTTTGCACCCCCCATCTCCAAAATGGATAGTGAGAGCAAAAAGGAAGGTGGTGAATGACAAGGAGATTTCTTTAAGAACGAGGTACAGAAGAGAGAATTTAGGTTACGTTAAAGAAAAGAAAATAAGTTGCAGAAATAGGGAAGAGGAAGCTAGGACAAGTAAAACTGTTTAAATGTGTAAGTACGTAGCTAATAGGTATTGTAAAACTGCCTGACATTTTAGCATAGACTTGTTAGTGTAATATTGTTCATATCAGCATCCCAGTGCAGGAGCTGAACATGTGCAATGGCTGAGGAAGTTAGACATTTCCCTGCCAATAGCAGTCTTGAGTTGTGTAACGCTCCCCAGATTAATGTTTAGTTTGTAACCTTGTTGGATCCTCTGTATTAAATTACAGTTGAGTAGCTTACTGCTGTATAGTGTTGCATAATTGTGTGTGTGTGTGTGTGTGGGGTTGCATATATAGAGTGAAGAGCTTTTTTCTAAAAACATAACTAAAATGCAATCAATATCTTCCTTTGATTTAGACCAGTTGTCAACAATAGTAGGTGTACTGATTGATCGAGTGAAATAGTAGGTGTACTGATTGATCGAGTGAAATAGTAGGTGTACTGATTGATCGAGTGAAATAGTAGGTGTACTGATTGATCGATTGAAACATGTTTTTTGCATTACGATGTTGTGTTAAAGGGAAATGTGTTTTTAATATGGACCCAAGGTAAACTCAAGACATTTCACATTCAAAAAGGCATTGGATTTATTCTTTTGGCTGAAAATGGGTTGCTAATTTTCCTGAATGCTCACATCCCCAAATTTCTCAACATCTTAACCTAAGATCCCTTGCCTTAAAAACAAAGTACCCAAAAGGAGCTGAGGAAAAAACAATTTCAAAATTAAAACTAAATGTAAGAATCTTTTTCCCAAAATTCTGCATCAAGGTCCACTTCAAGATGCAACTCCATGCCTCTGATTTTGGTCATCTTTCCCCTCCACACACCGCACCTCCCTAGTCTCCCTCCCCTTCACTGACAAACCAAAAGATAAGGCTTGTTGCCTCCCTCATTTTGATGCCACTTACACTCTCAAATGCTATGGATTATTATAATAAAATTGGAAAACTGCTCAATCTTCTTGCAGCCCAGAGCAGTTTACTGCAAAGACGTCTTGGATATAGAGCAGTTCTCAACAGTCAAAGGGGTAAACCTGGATCCTACAGACGACGATTTCTACTCGAAGTTCGTCACGGGTAGTGTCACCATTCCTTGGCAAAATGAGGTAAAAGCAACTTGCTCACAAGTTTTTTTTTCCCCTTTTTTAAACCTTTTTTNCTCAACTTTTGCTGAATCCAGAATGTTATCAGTGTTCCCTATTGTCTCTTGGTTCAATAGAAAGTGAGTAAAATTAGGTGAGTAATGATGATCAACCGAAGTCTATAATAATAATAAAGGTAAAACGGTAGTCCTTTGGAACCACCTTCATTCTGAAGCCCTTCCCATCTCAAGTCAATTATAAAATATTAAAGGGGAACAAGCCGGAGAATGGGAATAGACTAGTTGGCTCTTGTGGAGAAAAACTAAGGAGCTATACCAAATGGAAGGATTAAAATTACAAACAGAACTAATGGGCTGTAGGCACTGTAACTCAACTGATTCGTTGAGTGATGAGCTGGTGGCCCATGTACCTTTTCTGTGTGAGTTGTGCAGCCATTCTTTTCCAATAAGTGACTCTGGTATAAGTGTCTGCATATCCTTGTCACAGTGATTGGGTTATATTCTACAAGTCTTGGCTCAGGTTCCCGTTGATGTGAGCAGGGAATCAGAATGCTGCTTACAAGTGGCTGCGTTAAACAGCAGAAACAATGTGAGTCAAACTTCAAAAATGTGAAGCAAAAGGTGAGAAGGAAGCATGGCTGTGAGGAAATTAAAACCAAGGAGAAGGCCAAGATGTTAGAAATCCTGTGAAATAAGATATTTAAGATTTGCTGCATTTATAGCAGACTAATTTCCTCTAGGCTTCATTCTGTGATACACCACTGTATCCGCTAGCTTTGGCAAGCAAGCAGAGAGAGACAGCTTTTCAGCTGATCAGTATAATTTTCTGAGGTGATTTGGAGATTATTCACTCTCCAAATTTCTGATTCTCAAGTCAGTCTCTCTCTCATTACCTACCTTCCTCTCTCTGCCTCGGACACGCTTTTTCTGTGCCTCAGCCAGGTATTTTTCATGAATCAAATTGGTGACATTAAATTACAATATACAATTTAAGCATGACCTTGGACACTTAGCTAATTCTCTCCACCCAGTAAAGATTTTCAACCCAGAGGACTTTCAAGCTGTAGCAATCACACTTTCCGATAAGTTGAGTCTATCATTGCTTTCCCTGCAGGAACTTGGCTTATTTGCCCAGGAATCCCTGTTTTCAGACATCAAAGTAGGATAAGAGTTCATTGAGATTACTTCTACTACCATGGACTGTTATACTGCTGGCAATATACCAGAAGCAGCTCAGCTCACAAAACAGCTTTAGGAGTATTTGCTCAACATGGTCATGCCAAGCACCGATGTCACTGTAAGTGGCATCTCCAATACCTATTGAACTGCGGAAGGAAGCATTGTTCCCATGTTCTGCAGAATTTTCTGTAGAAAAAGTGATTTCTCTTTGAACCTTTGAAGGTGACCATTGTTTGATGTGTGTACTAAGTGTGTCGCTTGCTGAGCAAAATTGCTGCCATCAGCACTCGCTGGATGCAAGCGGAAATACACAATATCATCTTTTTTACTATTGTTATAGCAGAGTTTGGTTGATTGTCAAAATACTTGCCTAATTTTACTTAGTTTCTAAATTATCCAGAGATAACTGAGAGCACCAATAACATTCTGGATTCAGTGTTTTTAAAAAAAGGCTTAAAAAAGTATGAGGAAAAACAAAATGCCACTTGCTGATGAACGCCAGTTTGGTCTTGGTTTGGTTTTAGTTCTGTAAATTTAATGGATGTTTTTTGTATCGCAGATGATTGAAACAGAATGTTTCAAAGAAGTAAATGTATATGGAACTGGTGGAACATTATCACCAGACATGGATGCCAAGAAGCCTAATCCACCTCCGAAACGAGGTTTATTTCACAGGCTTTTCAGGCGAGAGGTAAGACAACTCTTACATACACGTCTTTTGTGAAAGACTCAGTGAGAGGCCATTCGGCCCATGATTTCGAGTCGGTGTCTGGTCCTCCTAGAAGACATCCACCTGTTAATCCTGCAAGCCAAAGCCTAATGGGTAGGGTGCTCTTAGCTGGCAAGCAGCGGGGAAACTTGTCTGACAGCGATATCAATGGCAAGCTATGTAGTTTTAGCTGGTTAGACTCCAGTAGTTACCCCAACACATACTCTGAGGTCCCCAAGCCTTGGCTCTTGCCAACCTGCGCCTAATACTTTTTGGAATTGGTTAAGCAGGATGTGCCCTTCCAGGGAGAGAGTGTGGATTCCATTCCAACAATGTGTCTCTGGGATTTCCATGTGTAGGTGGGAGGCATGGAAATCTCAGTTTGGTTTGGATGCTCTTAAGCGTGGTGATGTGTCAGATACCCGTCTGACCAAAACAAAAATAAGGCATCAATGTTAAACCCGTTTCCCAGCACATTTAAGAATGTACCCTCCAATAATGCCTTACTACCTGAAAAGAATTTGGTTTTATTTTATTCAGTTCATTTCTAATCCATTATATTTTGCAAAGTGCTTTGGGATGCTTATTTCCATGTGAAAGGCACACATAAAAGCAAGGTATTCCTGTATTTGTTGCATGGATTGCATGTAATAAATGAAACCAAAGTAATTCTGTGTTTGTGAAAAAGTTCTGATTCACAAATTAATCCAAATACACGGAGATATTAACGAAAATGCATTTAAGCACTCTTGGGAGCTGTAATTTCAGAGAAGTTTAGAAATCAAGGCCATGTTATAAAATGAATGGATCGGTGGTGTGCATCAATTTTGACAGTTAAAATAATTTTATGTGCTTTGGGACATCCTCTCGAAGTGAAGGGCATTATATAAATATACAATATATTGTATTACAAGTTAAATGCTTTAAGATGTTTCAAGTTCATGGGCACTATGGAAAATGTTAGTATTACTATTATTTTGACTTCATGGCTGTGTGTGGAACACTGCCATGTGCAATTTGGCTGTCATGTTCACCTACAAATATTCACTTTGCAGTAAATCCTGTGAAGTGCTTTTGAGAGTCCTCCTGCCTTGAAATTCACTACATCAAGTACAAGGATTAAGCATTATTTACTATTATTAATTATTATTATTCATTATTATTGTAACTGAAAGTGTCTCTTTGTTCCTTTTTTCCTTTTTTTCGTTCAGTTCTGTTTTAAAAGTGGTTACAGTGATGATGAAGAGGGCCCTTCAAGAATTTGAGTCCTTTTGGATGTCAACCATTTATTGAAAGTAAAAAACAAAGAGAAACTGAAATATTTCAGTTTAACTGGGAATGTGTATTAAAATGTATTATATTTCAAAAACTGCTGTATGAGTTTACATATTTTGTACATTTGTACTTGACTTATGTCTAGATGTATATTTTCACTAAAAGTTGTACAAAAAGCCATATATTAAGTACCACTTGAATGCATACATAATTTTAGCAGGAATGACTTTGGAAATATCTATTTAAAAGTTTTTATTTTTTTGTTAAAAAGCACAGTAATGTAAATGTGGTGTGTTAGGTACACCTCATAATTCAAGAGTAACTTGACTGAATTTTACTTCAGTACAGGATGGGCCCATATACACAAGCAATGTTGTCTTGGTGCTCCATAATATATGTATCATAAAACGTGTGTAACTTGTCTGCGTGCATGTTCTTTTTTTTCCTGTGTATAACTTGGAATCGATCCCATTTTGGTCCATTAAATTCCATTTCAAGAGTAACTGTAAATCCTAAATGTTTTGTTTGTTTAGCCAGTCGCCATAGTCAGAAATCAGACCATTGTTGCTGTGTTTACAGGCCCACTATATCATGGAAAAGGATCATTTAAGCTTTGTTCGTTTGAATCTCAAATCTGCGGAAACATTCCCAAATCTTATCAGTCTACATTCTGACAATGTCAGAATACATCTGTACCAAACTTTTTTTGTAACTTAGCATCAGGTATTTTGCCTATAACTCATTTCTTAAAGCTCTGAAGAACATAAGTAGACAATCTCTGTGTTCTGTATTATTATTGACTTTTTTGTGGTTTGAATGTCTGCACTAAGTGCCATTTTAAAAAAAATGTTGCCTGTTCTCAAAACAGATTTTGCAGTTATATTTAATAAAGCATGTAACTATTGTATCTGCAGGATTGTTATTGGTGTCGAGGCCCCTCTGTGCCCACAAATCAGAATCTCATGTTGAATGCAACTGTTTTATTGCAACTGGTGACCAGTTTTGTGTTACACAAACATCATGTTTTTTTAACCCGCTGTGTAATCCTTCCTAAATTCAGGATGTATCAGGATCTTACCTAATGTCACTGGGTTTATTTTTATGTTGAACATTTTAAATTGAATAAACACTGCCATTTGTATACAGTTTTGTTGTCTTGGGTTGACGACTGAAAAATGGCCCTCATAATTGCTCAGGACTCGAGAATTTACTATAGTAAATGTTTTTTTTCTGTATAGTAGTGTATTTACCAGTAGTTAAGAGAATGAACTCCTCTAGCCCCCCACCCCGTCTCTCTCACACACACACAAAGGATAATGGTTTTGTGTAATGTAGCACATGTATATGATTCAGGGAAGCTCATTGAAGCGAATTGTTTAAACCGATAGATGGATTCAAGAAGCAATCACATGCATTTCTGGAAAGAAGGGATTAAACAACAACAACTTCCATTTATATAGTGCTATCCATGCAGAGTAGCGTCTCAGAGCACTTAACAGTGGCGGAGCCTGACTCCGAGCCGGGTGGGGGTGGGGAGGTGACTGTAAACACGGTCGAAAAGGAAGGTTTTCAGGTGGGACTTGGAAAAAGGGGAGAGGGGGGGCAAGGCAGAGGCATTGAGGGAGAGTGTTCCAGAGCTTCGAGGCGTAGTGGCTGAAAGCGCAACCTCCAATGGTGGGGTGGAGGGTGTGAGGGACAAGCAGGAGGCCGGTGCCAGTTGAGTGGAGGCGCTGGGTGGTGGATTAGGGAGTGAGGAGGTTGGAGAGATAATAATAATAATCCTTGCATTTGATATAGCGCTTTTCACGTCAGGAGGACGTCCCAAAGCGCTTCACAGAATATACTGTAAAGTGAATTGACTGTATATTTGTAGGTGAACGCGGCAGCCAATTGCGCACAGCAATGTCCCACAAACAGTCATAGATTGAAAATGACCAATTTTATTATTGTTTTTTGGAGGGATTATTATTAGGCATGTGGAGTAAGGAAACTTGCCCAAGGTTTAGTCCTGCCTGGAATTGAACCCAGATCTCTCGCTTGCAAAGCGAATGCTCTAACCACTGAGCTACAGGACTCCACAATAGGGAGGTGCCAGAGATAGGGAGGTGCCAGAGAATGAAGGGATTTGAACACGAGAGTGAGGATCTTGAATTTGATCTGTTCGGTGATGGGGAACCAGTGGAGCCTGCCCAGAACTGTTGAGATGGAGATACGGAGTTTAGTCTGGTTAAATATGCGGGCATCGGAGTTCTGAATGAACTGGATCTTTTGAATAGTGGAGCTGGGGAAACCAGCAAGGTTTGGTTTGAGTAATCCAGGCGGGAAACACGTGCATGAGGGTTTCGGCTGGTTGTGTAAACACTTTTATGTTGACTTCCCATGACATGGATATCACCAAATAATGCATGATGGAACGTGGCTATTTTTAACCTCTGTAAGTCAACAATAACAAAATTACATTTACAGAATGCCTTTCACGTTGGGAGGACGTCCCAAAGCGCTGAGCAGTCAGGTGTCGGGGCTCGAGCATGGGGAGGGGTGGTGTAGGGGTGAGGGAAGGCAGAGAGGTGGGAGAGCGACCAAAGGCACCGTCGAAGAGAAGGTTCTTGAGACTGGCCTTGAAGGAGGCAAGAGAGGAAGCGAGGCAAAGGGACTGTGGGATGGAGTTCCAGAGTGTGGGGGCAGAGAAGAGAGGCTGAAAGCCCGGCCACCGATGGTAGGGAGGGTCAGGCGGGAGACATGGAGCAGACCGGAGCCTGCTGAACGGAGGGTGTGGGCAGGTTGATAGGGAGTCAGCAGGTCAGAGAGGTAGGAGGGGGCAAGGGCCATGGATGGCCTTAAAGGTGAAGGATTAAAAGATGATGTGAAGGTGGACCGGAGAGATTGGGACGATCAAACAGAGGCCAGCTTGTTATTCTTTTCCAGTTTTTTTGGTCAACCTGGTGCTGAAACATGTGCTATGCACAAACCATGCTTACGAGTATCCAAACCAAACTGACGATTTCACGCATCCCACCTACAAATGAAAATTCCAGAGATACAGTAGATTGTTGGAAAGGAATGCGCATAGACACTTTAGTTTTACGAACGTGGATAACCATGTGGATCTTAGATTAATTTCAATGCGATTTGTGGTTGTGTAAACACTTTTATGTTGACTTCCCATTACATGGATATCACCAAATACATGATGGAACGTGGCTATTTTTAACCTCTGTAAGTCAAATTCTACTCTTTCTGAAATATAACTATTTTAAATATTTTTATGCAAGTTGTTATGTAAATTTGCTTTAGAGTTTAGAACTGTATTGCAGTTTTAAAATGAGTGAAAGTTACGTTGGTGTATTTAAGTGGAATTGCTGCCACAGTTTGCACATCTATTGATTCCTTTGAGTAACTATAAACTGATGCAATCCCAATGTGCCTCTATTTACAAGAACTCAACTCACTCTCACTTACTAGAAAATGCCCTGGCACTTCTTCACAAAGCTTCAGCTGTCGCTTCAGAATAACAGCAAAAAGGAACAGGAAGTGAATTGAAATGGTAATTGAATAAGTGAATTGTATTTAATAAAAGAATGATGGCCTAAGACTGTTATGACATACTAAGAGGAAGAGGGTATCTCTGCTCCAAACAATCACCTAACTTAGGTTGGACTCTATCACAACAACAACAACAACAACTTGCACTTATATAGCGCCCTCCATGCAGGGTGGCGTCTCAGAACGCTTAACAGTGGCGGAGTCTGACTGCGAGCCAAGGGGGAGCGGGGAGGCGTCTGTAAGCACAGTCGAAAAGGAAGGTTTTCAGGCAGGATTTGTAAAAGGGGAGGGGGGGCAAGCCGGAGGGATTGAGGGAAAGCGTTCCAGTGTTGGGGGGTAGTGGCTGAAAGCGCGACCTCCAATAGTGGAGTGGAGGGAGCGAGGGACAAGCTGGAGGCCGGTGCCAGTTGAGCGGAGGCACTGGGTGGTGGATTGGGGAGTGTTGAGGTCGGAGAGGTAGGGAGTTGCCAGAGAATGAAGGGATTTGAACACGAGTCTGAGGATCTTGAAGTTGATCTGTTCAGTGATGGGGAGCTAGTGGAGCCTGGCCAGAACTGGTGAGACGGGGGTACGGAGTTTGGTCCGGGTCAGTATGCAACAGCAGAGTTCTGAATGAGCTGGATCTTTTGAATAGTGGAGCTGGAGAGACTGGCGAGGAGTGCGTTTGAGTAATCCAGGCGCGAGGTGACAAACGCATGCACGAGAGTTTTGACTGCATTTGGGGTAAGGTACTGTCGGAGGTAGGTAATGTGGTGGAGGTGGAGTAAGGCGGTCCTGGTCAGGGACTGGATGTGGGGGGTGAAAGACAGCTGGGGGTCAAACCAGATGCCTAGATTGCGCACTGGTTCGGTGAGTCTGAGGGAGAGTCTAGGGAGGTTGAGGAGTTTAGATCTTCAGGAGTGAAGATGTTGACAAGAGGCACAGTGTATGGCTTCCATCTTATCCACATTCAGCTGCAGGAAGTTTGCACTCATCCAGGCCCTGATGTCTGCCAGACAAGCTGATAGAACATCGGCGGACCTGGAGTTGGTATTGGAGGAGGCAAAGCAGATTTCTGTGTCATCTGCATGCATGTGGAAGTTTATCTAATGTCTGCAGATGATATCACCCAAAGGGAGCATATGGATGAGGAAAGGAAGGGGGCCAAGGATGGAGCCCTGGGGTACCCCGCAGGTGACTGGGTGGGGGCAGGAGGAGAAATCATTTCATAGATCATAGAATCATAGAATTGTACAGCACAAAAAGAGGCCATTTGGCCCATCGAGTTTGTGCCGGCTCTTTGAATAGAGCAATTCATTTCAATCCCACTCCCCAGCCCTTTCCCCATAACCCTGCAAACCCGTCCTCCTCAAATACTCACTGCGTGAAAAAATGTCTTCTCACCTCCCCTCTGCTTCTTTTAGAGACTATTTTGAATCTGTGACCTCGAGTTACCGACACACCCACCAGTGGAAACAGTTTTTCCCTTTCTAACCTATCAAATCCCCTCATGATTTTGAAGACCTCTATTAGGTCTCCTCGTAACCTTCTCTGCTCCAATGAGAATAATCCTAATCCTCATAGTCAAGGTCCCTCATTCCTGGGACCATCCTCGTAAATCTCCTCTGCACCCTTTCCAAAGCCTTAACATCCTTCCTATAGTGTGGTGCCCAGAACTGGGCGCAGTATTCTAACTGAGGCCTAACCAGTGTTTTATATAGGTTAATCATAACCTCCTGACTCTTGTACTCTGTGCCCCTATTTATAAAGCCTAGTATCCCATCTGCCCTTTTTACAGCTTTATCTACCTGTCCTCCACCTTCAAGGATTCATTTGCCGAGATGAAATGGAGGCGGTTGGTTAAGTAGGACTCGAACCGTGTGAGTGCGGTCCCACTAAGGAGGATGAGGGGAGGACGGGCGGTGGAGGAGGATGGCGTGGTTGACTGTGTGGAACGCGGCAGAGAGATCCAGGAGAACAACAACAACAACAAGATTCCATTTATAAAGCGCCTTTCACGTCAGGAGGACGTCCCAAGGCGCTGCACAGTTGGGTCAGGACCCGAGCAGGGGGGAAATGGTCAGGGTGAGGGGAGGGAAGGAGGGAGGGGGGGGAAATGCTCAGGGTGAGGGAGGAAGGAGGAGCGAGGAGGGGAAATGGTCAGGGGAGGGGAGGGAGGGAGGGAGCGAGGAGGGGGAAGAGAGTCGAGAGGGGAGCTGAAGGCTCGGTCAAAGAGGACGAGGAGGCAGAGGGAGCCCCGGTCACAGACCGAGAGGGCGTTGCTTGTGACTTTGACGAGCGCCGTCTCTGTGCTGTGGGCAAAAAACCAGACTGGAGGGACTCGAGGGGGGAGCGGAGGGAGGGGTGTGACTGAAGTTGATGTGCAACAATGCATCGCCAGGGCTTCGGCAAGGAAGGGCGGGTTGGAGATGGGACGGTACTGTGAGAGATTAGAGGGATGGAGTGATGATTGTTATCACTGGTGGAGCCTCAGTCCAGCTGTCAATCAACTGATGTCCATCAACATAGCGTGTGTGCGCGCGCGCGCGCGTGCGGTTCACCTGTCAATCACTGGGCTGTGGGTGGAGCGTTCCCGGCAACCCGTGCGGCGGTGGGCGGGGTCTGCCCGCCCGGCCACTCCGCGGCGCTGTGGGCGGAGCGCGGCGCGCGGGTGGGCGGGGTCAATCCCTGCCGGGGCGGGCGGGCGCCCTCTGTCGCTGACCGCGGCGCATCGACTTCCGGTCGGGCCCTGGCGGTGGCGGGGGGACGGCTGCTCAGCAAGATGGCGGCGGGCGCCGAGCCTGGCAACCAGTAGCAGCGCCTCGGGGGGCCCGGCTGGCGGCGAGGACCCCACCCCCTCACCTCCCCTCCCCTCCCCTCACAGCCGGACAAAAAATTCGCGCGTACGAAGCTCTCGAGGAGGTTTCCGCTTAGGAGAAGGCGGTGATTAATCGCCCCCTCAACACCTCCCCCTCTCTCTCTCTCCCCCTCTCTCTCTCCCCCTCTCCCCGCCCCCCGAGTCCCGGCTCGTTCCTGGTAAAATGGCAACCATGGAGAAGCTGATGAAGGCCTTCGAGTCGCTCAAGTCGTTCCAGCAGGGCCCGCCCAGCGAGGAGCCCGGGCAGAAGCAGTGAGTGAGCCCAGATTGTGTGTGAGGGGGGGAGGGGAGGGGTGGGGGGGGAGGGGGTTACTGACCACCTCTCCCCCCCACACACACACACACACAATCCACATCTGATCAACTGCGGATGAGGCACCTTCCCAGGGAGGAGGAGGAGGAGGAGGAGGAGGAAGGATGATGATAATCCTTGCATTTCACATCGCGCTCTGTCACGGCGTTGAGATGTCTCTTAAGTGCTTCGCAGGATATACTGTAAAGCGAATTGACTTGAAAGAAAATATTTCAAAACAAACTGCTCCTCGAGTTTGCTGCTCTTCTGTTCTATTTGGGCTCGTTCATATATATATATATATATATGATATATTTTTTAAAAGTCTCTTTTTTTCCCCTTCCCTGCTCCCAAACAAGCAGCACTTCCCATCTGTATATGTCTGTGCGTGTCCGTCTCTTCACAGGGATGTTTTGTTTACAACCTGAGCGCTTTCTGTGTTTTCACTGCAGCTCGACAAGTGCCAAGTTATAAACTTGTAACCGAGATTCTTTTAGGGAGAGATGAAATATGTTTTGATAATTGTTTGGAGATGGGGGGAGATGGGGAGAAGGAGAGCTATTATGCCCGGTGGAGGTCAGAATAGTGCATGCATTTATTAAAATTTGTTAATAATACGACAGGTGATGGTAAGAGTATAGTATTTATTTTATAAAACAAACAGTAAAGCTGACTATAATTACTTTGATGACATACAACAACACAATAATAATGTGACACAGATATACAAAACAAACACGTATCCGGACACTGTTCCGCACTCCAGATCAAACAGTAGTACTGACAATACAGGGACGACAACACGTATCCAGGCACCGTTTCATACTCCAGAGTAAACAGTAGACCTGGGATCACACCTTGACATACACTGGAGAGATCAGCCCCTGGAAATATCCCCCAGAGACAACTGACTCTTGTAATACCAACACTAAACAGGGACTGGCCTCCGGTAGACCCTTGGACCCAACCAGTCATACATAACAATATTCAATTGACAATAGTAACACCAAATGACAGATGGTGGCTTTGGTAAACTCAACAGACACAACCAGCTATAAGCCCAGCACCTAACTCACGCTGCCTAACCTGACTTCTGGGTTTTCCCAGACCAACTACTACTGCTGTTCTTACTTCTCTGTCTAGTAAACAGAACCAAAACCATATTACCCACTGCTGCTCCTCTTTCACTTTTAATGGTCACTTTCTTACTGGAGGTAAATTCACTCACCACTGTACATATACATAGATACAGTAGAATCGATATTGATTCCAATGGGAAGTGTGCTGACCCTCTACACAACTCCAACTATTTCAAAGTTACATCTTTCTTTTATGTGTTTCTAACTCCACCTCCGCTTGTCACAGTGGTAGTCCCCACCCTGCACAGGCTGCTTTGCACGAGAGAAATATGGACAACCTCTGGGTAGCCTTCCCCAGCCTGCTTGTTTCCCAGCCTTGAGATAGATAGATAGACAGGTATCTGAGGCTGCAGCCTTTTCTTTCTGTGATCGCTTATTCTTACATCTATGCTCAAGGACCCGATTGCTCAGTATCTCAGAGGAGAGAACATCTTCCCAGGAAAATGTGAAATGTAATCAGAAGCTAACCTCAGCCCGTCCAGCAAAACTACTTTTAACCATTTAACAATCAAACCTTCTGGAACATTCGTTTGCTGTTTGAAATATACCAAGGCACTCTGAGGCGATAATCGGTATATCTCAACACTGAGCACTTTCTGCGTTTTCACTGCAATTTGACAAGTGCTAAGTTATAAACTTATAACCGAGATTTTTCTAGAGAGAGGTGAAATATGTTTTGATAATTGTTCGGAAATAGGGGGAGTTGGGAAGAAAGAGGAGAGTTATTATACCCGGTGGTGGTCAGAATAGTGCATGCATTTATTAAAAACGCAAAGAGCAAGCTATTTACCTTTTTACGAATAAAATCATCTGTGCAGTTGAAGTGGCAGTGAGCAGATTTGTTGGTTAACATTGGCCATCTGTGTTTCAGTTTCTATCTTTTGTCTTTTTATACATGAAATTCTTGCATGCTTTTGCATTTTTTTAATGTATTTTTTATGGAAAGATTTGATTCAACCTCTTAAATGATTTCAAGATTCAGTCAAATGGATCTGGAAGTGCAGGTTCAAAAAAAAATCTGAAAAATCTTTAATTTTATCAAAAATTTCAGATGAAACTGGGAGCGAAATCAGGGGAATTACTGGTTAGAATATTGAGATTAACTTTCTTAATTGATGGTTAAATTTGCTTCTGGTACTTTATGATAATTGTTGATTTTGACAGGAAAATAATATAAGGTGAGGGATACATATTTTAAGCACTGTTGCCCTTTTCATCTTAACATAGTGGAAAACAATGTAGATGTTTGTTTACTGTGGTTTTAAATTTAGGGCAGATTGTAAGATTAGAAAAAAAATTTTGTTTGTGCTTAAAAGCATTGTAATGCCACCGTGGTTTTACTGGTTATATTTCATACAAACATATCCAAATGAACTTTTAAATGCCAAAGTATGGGAAGATTAATATTACTAAGATGTTGCTTGGAATTTGTAATTATGCTTGTATGGGGCTCGGGTTAAGCACTCACGGGTGCTAGTTCTATTATATCATTTTACAAAGGTATGCACATCAAGCGTGCAACCAGATTCATCCTTTCATCAGCTAATTGTACAAAATCTTCAATATGATGAAAAGCATTGCTGAAATGTAGTTTTAGTACCGTGGGGAATATCCTGTTAACTGAATAGGAAGCCTGTTGTGATACATTCCTTAACATCAGTTTGCAGTTATACGGTGTCTTTTAAGTACAGTCATGTTTTAATGTATTACAGGTACAGAGCTGGACACTGAGCAGGGATAGTGGAGGCTGGAGGAAGGGTGACCATAGGTATGGTCAATGAAGTAGATTTTCAAAAGGCTTTTAAAAATGGATATAGGGCATGAGGTGCAGCGATTTAGAGGGTTGCAGAGAACAGGAGGATTGTAGTTAAAAGCTTGGTCGATGGTGGAGCTGGCAGGTTGATGGCCCCCAATCTCTAGAACTCCATCCAGATATCCCTTTGCCTCACCCCTTCAAGCTCCCCAAATCTTCCTCTTTGATTGCTCCTTTGGTTATCTGCTTCCTTGGCCCACACCCTTCCTGAATCCAACCTCCAACTTGAGTGTAAACGCTCGACTGTTCGGTGCCTTGAGACATCCTCCTGGTGTGAAGGATACTGTAGAAATTTGTTGCATGGCAGGTGATTAGGAGGGTGGAGTATGAACTGGTTAGGCTGAATTGCTTGTTTGTGTGTTATAACAATTTATATAATGTAGGTGTGAGTGAGGATCTAGAAGTCTATCTGGGAGACATGGAGACAGTGGAAGCTAGCAAGGATGGGGTTGATGGGCATATTCAGTTTAATTTATGTGATCAAGTGATTGTGAATTTTACTGAATCTACTGCTAAGTCATAGAATCTTACAGGACAGAAGGAGGCCATTTGGCCCATCTTGTCTGCCGGGACCTTGAAAGAGCTACCAACTAGTCCCACTTCCCTGTTCTTACCCCATAGCCGTGCAGATTTGTCCTTTTCAAGAGCATATCCAATTCCCTTTTGAAAGCTACTATCAAATCTGTTTATACTACCCTTTCAGGTAATGCATTCCAGATCGTAACAATTGCTGGGTAAAAAAAGTTTCTCCTCGTCTCTCCTCTGGTTCTTTTGCCAATTATAATAATAATCCTTGCATTTTTGCATTTGACATAGCGTCTTATCACGTCTTTAAGACGTCTCAAAGTGCTTCACAGAATATAATGTAAAGTGAATTGACTGTACATTTTGCAGGTGAAACGTGGTAGCCAATTGTCACAGGAGTGTCCCACAAATAGTCGTGGATTGGGAAATCAATGGAGTAACTAATTATCTTAAATCTGTGTTCTCTGTGTTACTGACCCATTTGCCAGAGAACTCTGTTTCTCCTTATTTACTCTTAACAAAACCCCTCATAATTTTGAACACCTCTATTAAATCTCTCCTTAACCTTCTCTAATCTAAGGGAAACAATCCCAGCATCTTTAGTCTGTCTACATAACTGAAGTGCCCCATACCTGGTATTCTGCTAAATCTCCTGTATGTCCTCTCGAAGGCCCTGACATCCTTACTAAAGTGTGGTGCCCAGAATTGGACACAATATTCGACCTCAGGTTTAACCAGTGATTTATAAAGGTTTAGCATAACTTTTCTGTTTTTGTATTCTATACCATTATTCATAAAGTCAGGGATCCCATATGCTTTATTATTGGCTTTGTCAACTTGTCCTGCCACCTTCAAAGATTTGTGTATGTGAACCCTCTCTGTCCTTGCACTCCCTTTAAATTTGTATTAAAAAGTGACAGTGTTGTGCAGATATTTCTTTTTAAGGGAGTGCATGTGAACATGAATGTATTCTTTCCATAACAACTCTGTAGCACGTTTCTCCTGCATTAGGCTCTGCAAGCCAATCACCCCCATCCTACCCCGGCTCCACTGACTGAAGTTCAGGATCCTCATCCTCACTTCTAAATGTGGAGTCCTGTAGCTCAGTGGTCAGAGCACTCGCTTTGCAAGCGAGAGATCTGGGTTCAATTCCAGAGAGCGAAACCTTGGGCAAGTTTCCTTACTCCACACACCTAATAATAATCCCTCCAAAACCAAAAACAATAATAAATTGGTCATTTTCAATCTACGACTGTTTGTGGGACATTGCTGTGCGCAATTGGCTGCGCGTTCGCCCACAAATATACACTTTACAGTATATTCTGTGAAGCACTTTGGGACGTCTGGAAGAAGTGAAAAGCGCTATATCAAATGCAAGGATTATTATTATTACAGTCTTGCCCCACCCTGCCTCCGCGACCTTGTTAAACCCTACCAACATGCCCACTGCCTTTGCTCGGTAGGTACTGGCTGCTTCATGTAC